GCCTATTTAGGCAGCAATGTGTTCCTCTCTGGAAACCATTTGAATCACTGCACCTTTTTCCAAGTGAATGTTCTGGCGATGCGGCACCTCTATATGGTGACCAGGGGCGGATCTAGCGTGTAGTATACGGGTTCCCGGGAACCCACTAACTTTTGCGTAGACCTTGTATTTTTGTTAAAGTTTTTATTAAATATCTATTTGTGAACCCAATTATTATTGTATATTAATTTGAAATTACGACAGGAACCCATAAACTTAAAATCCTGGATCCGCCTCTGAATTGGTGACTGTTCCGGTAGGCCATGTCATTTCAGCATAACCATTGCAAGGGCGCCATGTTTCTATCTGCTGGACATTTCTTGCTTTTGCACCTTTCTAGCCATTGTTTCAGCAACAACTTTTACAGCGAGATTACAGCGACCAGAGCTGTTTCATCCAGCTTTTTTAGTCGTTTCTGGCGTTATTTAGTTTGCATGTTTGCAAATAGACAAACTCAAGTTGTTTTCCCCATTTTGAGTTTAGGGGGCATGTTAGAATGATAGGTATTAGTATTAGAATAGTGTTAGCAGAGTTATGCTATTAGTTGGATATTATGCCACGTGGAACAAATATCATGAGTCTTGGGTTTGGCACCTTAAGTAGGTGTACTTTGTATTCCATTATCATTAAGTCTTCAACATATCTCTTTCCTCTTCTTTTTTCTTTAACAAGGTTAGGGTCTCAGGAATATAGAGTTTCCTTTCTAAGGATAGATCTGAATGTTCCTAATCCCATTAAAAAAAAAAACAAGACAAGATTGCTCTGATTTTCTTGTCCTGCATTAGGTTTTTGATTTTCAGATTTTCTGAGCTCTTCTCAGCTTCCCAATCAAGAGATCCATTTGTGGCACTCTTTGTCAATGAGCTTTACAGTGTCTTAATCTTTAAGTATTGACTTCTTTAAGTGCTGTGAGCAGGTTTCCCCAAGATGTGAAGTAGATAGTATAGGGGTGAATGTTGCTGATTATGTCGAGGTTAAAGAATATGTAGTGTGCGTATATTGAGTTCATTTGTTGGAGGAGAAACTTATAATTTATACTTCCCAAACTTGGGAGAAATTGTTCCCAATCCTACTTCTTTATCTTTAAGCTTGTGTCTAGAGACGAGCTTTTTCCTGGTAAATAGTAGCCCTAATTCACCAAGCACGGATATTTGGCTAGGAAAAAATCGTTTAGCATGTAGCATCTGAAAATTTTTAGCTTATTAATTTCTAATTTTAATCCAGTGAATCAACTAGTTTTCAATATCTTGAAATTAACGTGTAAAATTTGATGAGCCATTTGCTTTTAGTTTGTGTGATCTTATCTGCAACAAGCATGAAGAGTACTGTGTTCGGTTTGGAGTCAGCCACTAAATATCTTGTCCAGACTTATCCTTAAGTCAATGCCCTCTATTTGCTTTATTTTATCTGTGTTCTTGCTAAAACCTGCATTTAAGAAGCTGTGTTGTTGTCTCTACTTAATGTTATGTTTGCTTGCCTTACAGTGCATCAAAACTCAGCTTGCCATCCTGCAGAAAATGTTGGAACTGCTGCAAAGCCTAATGGCATGCATGAGCCTATACATGCAGATAGACCCAATGCATTCAGTAATTGCAGCTCGTCTGTTCTCTCTTGCATGCAAACAGCAACTGATATTCCTGCCCATAGCAGGAAAATTGATGTTCCTCCTGATGTGTTTTTGGGCCAGCACTCTAATATGGGGATGAGACACACACTGGATGGGAGGATTATTAAGACAGAACCTGTTTATGGTGGCAATTCTCCGTTTGCCTTTGGTCCTCATAGCAGTTACTTGGAGTCACGTGCTGCAATGGGCGATGCATCTGTTTCGTCATTTAGTAGTGTGGAGTCGAACACACAGCCCCTTACTGAACCTCTTCTGGATGCTGACACCACTTCATTTGGATTTTTAGGGGAAATACCTCAAAATTTTGGTTTCTCAGACTTGACTGCTGATTTCACTAATAGTTCTGGTATATGTCTTCCTCTAGCCGTTCTCTCTGTAATTTCACCGATCATCTCTGGATTCTTTGCTTTTCCATTTTCAAAGTCTTAGGCATTCAGATGAGCTGGTATGATGCTAATTATGCATGCTTTACATCCGCTTTGACCATGTTCAGATATACTGGAGAGCTATGCTAGGACTCCCTTTCTAGCAACAGATACAGACAACTTGCTTGATTCAAATGGTAGGATATAGAACCAAGGCAAGACTTTTGTGCTTTTTGTTATTCTCATTCAATAACCAACTTTGTGTCTTGACTTTCAGGAAGCATTGAGAGATTAACCAATGCATCAGAAAACTTGAGATACAATGGTTTCACTGGAGATTGATTGTGTATAGGTACTTTCTCCATCTTATAAAATTCATTAAATTTGCAGTATTTACTCTTACTGCAATGCATCAGAATACTTGAGATACAATGGTTTCGCTAGAGATTGGTTGTTTAGGTACTTCTCCCGTCCCATAAAAATTCATTAGACATGAAAGGCTCTGGTGATCATATTATTGTTACTCCTCTGATTCCATTTTATATGATGATTTTGAGTGGACATGAAGTCTAAGATATTAATTTTGATTTATGGTGCACGTATCGCATATAGAATATTAAACTAGATATCGTCATTTGAGATAGTTAGCCATGTCCTGTGTGGATCTTCACGTGTCGGTTAATAGGCGTGACATTATGATTATGGAAGGCGCTAACTATGTATCAAATAAGTCAAATATCACATGGAGTGAAGTTATGTCAAAAGTCTTAGAATTTCTTGGAATCAATATAGACCTAATTAAGAATAATACACAATTGCATATAATTCTTTTTGGTTTGTTAGGAACTTGTATGTCAGTCTAGAAATACGTGTGAGAATTAGAGAACTGAACGTCTGGTTTTAAAAAACTTCTTATTTGTCTTAACAAACAAATTATTTAATCTTGAGTTTGATGTGCCGAAAAATAGCATAATGGTTATAGAGATCCAAACTAGTTTGGAGTTGAGGCATATTTAATTGATTGAATGAGGTGGAGGGGGATGAATTTTTGAAATTTGATTAGGTAGTAAGTTGATAGGATTCTTGTTCGAACCTGCTGAGAAATCCTTTTCTTAAGCCAAAGGTTTATACGAAACAACCTCTCTATCTCCTCAAGGTAGGGATAAGGTCTGTGTACACATTCCTCCCTAGACCTCACACTCTGGGAATGCACCAGGTATGTTGTTGTTGTTGTAGTAAGTTGATAGGGAGAAAAAATAGGTGAGTGAATTGAAATCTTGAAGTTGTTGTATTACAGTAATTATGTTAAATATTTAGAACATCCCAAAGTGAAGAGAGTGTATCATATACATTAAAAGTCGAGGGAGTAATTCTGGAGTATCTCAGCTTGAACATCCCATATGGGAAGACTTTGAGCCCGTTTGGATTGACTTGTTTTAAGTGCTTTTAAGCCAAAATAACTTTTAAGTCATTGCGTAGTGTTTGGATAAAGTAAAAAAGTGCTTTAAGCACTTCTTTTTAAGCTAAAGTGACAAAAACAAGCCAAAAGCAAAAAGCTAGAATTCCTAACTTATGGCTTAAAAGCTATTTAGCTTAAAAGTCACTTAAAATAAGCCCATCCAAACGGGGGCTTTGTTCTCATCTTGGAAAAAATACTACGAGAATTATATTGTTCTTTCTTCATCTTTTCTCTGTTCTCCTTCGAGGAGGACTTTGTTTTGGTAACTTCGTATTGGTCGAAGTAGGTATGGTTTTTGTGCCATGGGCCCAATTGATGTTTCTTTGGGAAATAATTTTCCAGCTTCCACAAGTCAAAATCAGGTGTAACGGTTTGCCTCTCACCAAGTATTCAAACAAATAACTCAAAAAGTCAAGAATCCTAGGAGGTTGGTTGAGTTAGCAAGCATCTTTTCATCAACTAGAAGGTCCTAAAACTAATCCCAGTCGGATGATGTGTGCTTGCTATGGAAGTCTTGTTATTATTTGTTTAGTGTAAGTTTATGTGATTCTTTCCTTTTACGAGGATTCACAGACTAAAATAATAGAAATAATGGATCTATGAAAGGAAGAAAAAAGAATCATGAGAGTATAAATAATTGTGTTACATATCTGAAATAATAGATTAGCATAAGAACAACAACAACAACAATAAATCCAGTATAATCCCACAAGTGGGGTTTAGGGAGGGTAGTGTGTACGCAGACCTTACCCATACCTGAAGGTAGAGAGCCTGTTTCCAATAGACCCTCGGCTCAAGGAAAGATGAAAAGAAAGCAGGAGCGCAAGCATTAACAACAACAAGATAATAAAAAAATGAAGCAAAAGGAACAACACGTAGTAATAGAAATCTAACAATAATAGAACACCAGACTAACACTAATACTACTGGGATAGGAAGAAACACTCTTGACTATGTACTAGCCTTTTACCTTAATTCTCGACCTCCATACCTCCCTATCAAGGGTTATGTCCTCGGTAAGTTGAAGCAACGCCATACCCTGCCTAATTCCTCTCCCTTATAATTATTTGGCCTACCTCTACCTCTCCTCAAACCACCAAGGTCAACCTCTTACACTATCTTACTGGGGCATCTATGCTCCACCTCTTTTTTATGAGAGGTAACAAGTTTTATAAATTAAGTAGAAAAACCTTTAGCATAAAAATTATGCTATAGGTTAAAGATAGTTATAAGACCCCCGAAAAAAAGCAAAACGCAAACCCAGACTTGTGATAGTTACAAAGACTCAATAATATCCACTATAGACTCTATATCCTCTACCAGAGAGCTCTTTACACCAAAAGTGAAACAAAATATACAATTTGTCTTGATCCTCTGTTCAGTGTTAGCTCTATCTTCAAAACACCTTGAATATCTCTCCAACCAAATTGTCCACCAAATACATGCTGGTATCAACCTCCACCAATGCTTCTACCTCACCTCAGTAGAATACTTGGGTCATTCCAGCTAGCTAACATTTCTGCAGTTGTCCTAGGTAATCTGCACCACTCCTCTTCATATGCCCAAGCAATCTAAGCGTCGCTTCTTGCGTCTTGTCCTCCACCAAAGCCACCCCCAGCTTGGCCCGAATATCTTCATTCCTAGTCCTGCCAATCTTGTTATGCTCGCATATCCATCTCAGCATCCTCATTTTGCTACGTTTATCTTCTGAGATCTTGACTAACCAACACTCTGCTACAATGTAGTCGGCCTAATAACCACTTTGTAGATTAGCATATGGTAATTAATTATCAGAGAAAGACAAGTATTTAAATTTATTCAATTGAATGAATAAAAAGATGGTCAAAGTAATTTAGAGCTGTGTTTAAATTGACTTTGCTGAAATTGTACAGTACAATTTGAACACATCTTGGTAGTTGTGGGTTGTGTAACAGCCCAGCCCGCTAGTGATATTGTCCGCTCTGGGCCTAGGCCCTTACTGGTTTAAAACCGTCACTAGCGTCTAAGGCTTGTTAAGTTATATACCCAGCATCCCTCTTGTATTAAGCCGATGTGGGACTCTGTCTAAAGTCTGGGGTGTTGCAGGTTGGAGGAGGGTGATTTCTATTTGCTCTATTGTCTAAATTCTTTCCCCTTCTTTTGGTTATGATGGTTCAATGTAATTGTCTCATTGTTGATGTTCTCACTGCAGATTTGATCAAACAAATACACGACAGTAGGTTTTGTATATGCCGCTCAAATGGTTTAGGATACTTGGATTCTGTGGTATTGTAGGTTGAGGCTTTCTTGGAGAATAATGCAAACATGATAGATTTCAGTAGAGATCTTGTACAAAGAGTTGAATGTGGTTCGAATATTGTTACTTTAGCCACGCACAACATACTGTCTGATTTGTAGTACAACAATGGAACAGTGGTGAAGTTTAGTGTATATTGGACTAGGAAATTGCAGCTTCTCCTTTTGTTGTTGGATGATTTTTAATTCTCTCTCTCTCTCTCTCTCTCTCTCTCTCTCTCTCTCTCTCATATGAGCGTATTACTTCTACCCGTGGTTAACGGAAGAAATTCTCCGTTGTTGTTTGAAAGCAAGACGTATTTGATTAATCAATCCACCATGCTTAAATCCCAAGTTCTGAGTCATCTCTGCATTATTAAGGTCTCTATATAGTATCGAATGGTTCGTTTTTGTTTTAGTTATTAGCCTACTGCAATCAACTTGCCCTGTCCTGTCCCGTCTTGTGCTGTTTCAATGTTGAGACCAGATGGTTGTGCCTAAACATTCAAGATTATAAAGGTATTAATCCATGAAATTACATGTTAGCCAACACAAGAGTTTGCAAGTTTGAGTTAGTGTTGGATATGTTAATTGCAAAACCAATTAATATCCAGCAAAGAAAAACCTTTTTAGAATACTTTGATAGGTCAACGAGCGGCCTATACGGATGCATGTGCTTTGTGAATGTGACAATAATAACATAAATTGACAATATATCATATGTATTACTACAAGGAATATTTAGAAGAGTTTTCTCAAGATTGCACTGCCTAATTCAACTTAAAACAATCCATGGTAGCAAAAGATAAGAAACAAAGCAATAAAAAAGACAACCATTTAATCTGTAATGCATGCATAACAATCAACTATGTAAACAACAAAATTATGAGATCAAAACTAAAGCAAGATTCAGTCACCAGAATGTACCCTGAAACCTTAATACATTTGTCTAATAGGTTGTCTGGTGCACCACAATTGTCCATGCTCCTATTTCTGTATTGAAGCAAAGGTCAACTTCAACAGTCTTAAGATTCACATTATAGATAACAAAAAATGCAAAGAAAAGGTTTCACCTTTAGCTTGCAGGCTTTCATACTTAGTGACACCTATATTTTCAGGAGAAAATTGAGCTCCATAATGTTTGAACGACACGGAGTCGCAAAAATCATGGTTTCATTGCAGTGATGACAGGTTAGCATCTCCCTTAGGTGATAGAATGGACTCCATTTCCATCTCCTGCTGAGGCAATAGCAATGCCCAAGCTGATGCCCAAGTGACTGCCGGTACTGTTCTCTGAAGATTCCTCAACACATTCGTTTTGTTGTTTCTTTTGTAGCAAGATCCTTTCCAGCACATAGAACCTAAAAATGCAAAATCAATAAATGGCTACATGAGTGAGCTAAAGGTTAATTTGATAAAAAGGCCACAGCATAACTATCAGGTAGTCATCTTGATGGATTAAATATAAGATATAGAATTTCTTCTTGTAGTAAACTATAAGATTTCTATTGTTCTTTACTCGATTAGATACAAGGATCTGAGCTGAGAATATTTATATCAGGAACAAATGTACAACTCAATCCGGCATCTATTGGTTCTGATATCGAAATAACCTCTGTAAAAACTGGTATAATTTTTGGAAAGTGCTCATAATCGGGACCCAAAAGCTCTCTGTCTGACCTGCAAATGAGAAAAATTTGCTAACACATTAAATACTAAACAAGAAATTAATATAAGAGATCACATATTAGAGTTTGCAAATTTCAGCTAGTGTTTAATTTGCTGAATGGGAAAATAGACAAATCCTAGTAACAACCACCAATAAGATGATCAAGTCAAATCGCCAAATGCTACAAAGATCATAGTTTAATAATTCATCTGTGTTAGAAAGAACTGTTGGGATCGAAATAACATGGTGCATGCGGAAACTAATAATACAAAACTTGGTGGACGATAAATCAGACGACAAAAGAAAAATATACTAAACTAAGCATAATAGGTTATAATGGTTTGGTCAATTGATCTGCATATGATAAAACTAATATAAAAGAAGAAAAACTATCGAGAGATACATATGATAAAACTAATATAAAAGAAGAAAAACTATCGAGAGATAATCTCCCCCTAAAAAAAACTCTTTAATGACTACATTGTGGATATTTTTTTTTGTGCTCTTGTGAGAAGTAGAGATCCTTAATTTATAGATGTGCAAAACTTGTCTTCCAAGAAAAGGATAAGACATATTAAGGAGATTTAATCCTTTTAGGAGTCTTTTTCCATTCCTTCAAGAAAGAGAGTCCTAATAGATTAGAAATTCAGGGCAAAGTCCTAACAAGAACATGGTGATGTTTTAGCACAAATGCTTGCTGTCAAGAGTCAAGGTTGCACTAACTAAAGAAATTATGTTAAACCAGATGAAACAATTGCTGAAATCTAGTGGACCAACTATTTTTGGGTTGAAGAAAACCAATACAATTATATCATTGAAATTAGTATTGATAGGTTGTCATTTATAACCTGTCTTGGCTATTCGTGCCAAGGTAACAAAAAGAAAACTTAAGAAGTACAATAGTAGAGGCCAGATGATGATAAAAACTAGAGCAGACTAGTTCAGTACCTTTCGACCATTGAACAAAGTTGGTCATGAACAAATTTGGCTTCATCCAAGTCACCTTTTATAGGCAGAGAATTCAGCCAAGCCGGAATAATCTACCAGAAAATATGGAATGAGAACTTTGCGGAACTTAAGTAGATTTAATTTTGAGGTACAATGGAGGAGCATCATTTCATCTTGGAAGATCAAACGCCACATGTTTTACCAAAATATTGATATGGTGAGTATATGCAAAATGGGACATACCCTTCCCAAAAGAAGTGAACAAGAGGAATATTCAGTTGTACCAAATACTAATCAATATATGTTCATAGTCCATTTTCCTTGAAACAAGGAAAAGTACTGATAATGTATGTTACACATCAAGTGTCTTCAGTTTGCTTTTAATACTACATAAAAGTGTACTCTAAACTCAGCTTTTCTTAAGCTTACTAAACACCCTCAGCTACAGGTTAATTAAAATTAAGTCAGTTGGAAAAGAATCAACCACTATAATCTATCTATATATGCAGGTATTATCTAAAAGGAACACAGGGAGTCACAGTGTATATGCATTTAAACTTTTTTCCCTTCATTTTCTGGAGAGGTAGGAAAAGCGAAAAACAACTGCATATATATATATATATATATATATATATATATATATATATATATATATATATATATATATTAAAGTACCTAGTTTGGACATAAAGTAACTATCAGATTATGAACTTATTTAAGAAGAAACTCATAAAGATAGACCTACTTTAGAGCTTCTTCGCCGCAATACTCCACAAGTTTATCAAAGATGAAAAAACATGTAATTCTCTTTGCAGCTGTTTTATCCTTGCCCTTCAAGCAGAGAAAAAAGGACATGTGAAAAACAACCTATGGGGTAAAAACGACAATGGTTATCATGAGCTGAAACTTTACCTCACGAGGCATTAGATTTGATGAAAGCTCATCAAAAAAAGGCAAGAAAGCAGCCTTGTATGTTTCGATCAATGTAACCAAGATGTGACCAACCTGATAAAAGATGTTTATGTAACTCGAGAATAAGTTAAAGCGAAAGTCCTGTATAAAGATAATATGGTGTCATGAGTTAAATCTGAACTTCGTTCTCTGATCAAACATACATTTTCAAAAACTTCATCTTCTTGCTCTCTTTCCTCCCTCAACAGTTCAGCAGCCTCAACATCAAAGTCTTTTGATTTTGCTCTCTCTGTAAGTTCTCCTTTTCTACGTGAACATTCCGTGATGACATGCTTTATATCACCAATGATGCTACAGACCTGTTCTTCATTGAGAAGTGGTCCGCAGATCTAAAAGAAGACATGCAAAGGAACATAGTAAGTCAAAATCGTTTTTATGACTCACTTAGTTTCTAGAACTAGTTCTGTCTCTTGCTTTGACAGTAATCATGAAACATTTCATCAGTTGACCTAACAGTAATCTTTTTTTCAATTATGATGGTGTCTAAGCTAGCTTGAGCGCACCTCAACTATTCTATTGGGTACCTGCTACCTCCACCAACACAGGTACTAGTAACTCTGCCATCAAGGCTTAGGCTTGACTTATCAGTGATTTACTGAAATGAAGTTTTTCGGTCTTACCTATTCATGTCAAGGGAGCTTTTGTAGTTATCAGACTATGGTAGACTTTGGTCCACATTTCAATTCTCAGGAATTTTATAATGGTCCAAGTATGCGTTTTCGTAGGTAGAACAGTAAATTCTGCTTGTGCTCATACACAAACTAAGAATCAAGTCAGACGAAGCTTCTAATCTACTTGATCCCTGAACTATGCAAGTCACTTTTCTTGTCCCCAGGTCTCGCTCTATATATATAAGGTTGTAAAGATTTGATAGGACCATGCTGTACTATCTTGCTTATCATAGTGAACATAAAAAGCTCAAAGGCAGCATACCACCATCATAAAAGAACAATACAAACTTGGATCAAAGTAAAGAGACCATCTTAACATGACGTACCTGTAGGCAGTTACCCAATGAACGCAATATATATGCACATAATTTTGTCTCAGGCTCCTGCATGAGATAGCAATCAAAAGTGTCACTTTCTTCTTATTTAGATAAATGGAGCTCATTTTCCCCGCAGACAAAAGAAAAACATAAATAGTGATGTGTTGAAGGCAACCGAATACAAAGCGTCTCCCAGAGCCAATATTATATCGCCAGACAACTGCTTGAAGTATGACTCTCCACCCTGAGCAGTCCCCTTCTCTACCGCCTGTTTAGCCGAACGCAACAGGACGTATAATCCTTAACCACCATAAATTAAAACATCTCATAAGAAATAATATTGGAGAAGGTAAAGGAAAATAAAAATACCATATTGAAATCATGTGTTTCTTTATCCTTTTTTTTACCACGAGCAGCATTGTTCCTGATGTTATTGTGCGTATAGAATTTCAGAAGGGGAACAAAAATTGAAGCAGCCTGTTTCATGATTTAACCGATAAATATCACCCGATAATTTTGAGTACACTTAACATTACATGGAAAAAAGTAAATGTCAAGTGATATTCATGCTAACCTGGGAAATCCATGGGTAGAAGTCTTCCTTCATGCTCAGAGCATACAAAGCAAGGTTACTACAGGCCACAAATTTCGCATATAGGAGGTCACTTCCTTTGATGCATATTATTTCATCCCAAAGCTTGACTTTCTGTGTACTGCAAAATGTGAAACTTAAGAAATAACCACCTCTCCATAGCAGTCTTAGTATTGATCGGTAAAGTAAATGAAATACTCCTAACAAGAAATCGTACAGATTCAGGAGAAAATATGTTTAACAGGTGAGAAAGGCAACAACTATTGGTGCTCGTAAATATGTGGCCAGTGACTACACATATGGATAAGAGTTTGACAACAGGATGTGGAAAACTAATTGAACCATGTCCGGTATGATAAAAACTTACTTACACTCAATGTTTACACCGAACCATATGATTGCTACGCTTAAGTGATTCTATGAGGTGAGATTATATATTACCTAACCATGGTTAAGTGAGAGAAGTGTGTGTGCAAACACATGGCATACGTTCCGGTAGATATCAAAGCAATATAGGTCAATACTATTCTTGCCAAAGTTAGAGGACATATTATGCCACTTTTAAGCTATAAATTTAGATGCAGATACGAGGTATTAGATGGAGACAAGTTGATGATTTTCGGGAATTTTTGGGAGTAGAAGTTGGAGATAACAAGGAGGAGGAAAGGAAGCTATTTGGATAAAATGAGAGGAAACTGATTAGCAGAAAGAATCAACAAAAACGGGAAGGAGTTAACAAAACAACAACAACAACAACATACCCAGTAAAATCCCACTAGTGGGGTCTGGGGAGAGTAGAGTGTACGCAGACCTT